AAAGCCTGAATTTTGCCTGAAACTCTCAGACTGAAGAAGTCTCTTGGAGAAGAGACGAAACGTTTCATTAGAGAAGAACCCGTCCAGAAGACCTACACAATTTTTTTGGTTAATGCTTAGTTTGTATGCAAATTAGTCGTCACTGCTTCATTAATTTATCCTGTAGTATTAGCATTAGCTTTTAAAAATAAAGTACTTACGTTACGTGGTAAAGGATTTGAATAGTACTTAAATAAAACAAACTGTCAGGTAAATTCAATAAATAAGTTCTAGGTTTTCTTTTGAGCAATAAAAGAAAACAACACAAAGTTTCAAAAATTGGAAATTGATGGCAAACGAGATCAAATGTAACTACCGACATAAATAAAGACAAGTGAACGCGTCATTTCGCACATCCAATCAACACTCAAGATGCTTGCAATAACAACCAATAAGAAAACGTATCGTTGTCATCGTTTCCAGCCTCAGGGAAAATTAACCAATGGTAAGTAAGTTTACTCAGCAGGTTGACCAATGGGAAGAGGCAAGGTCTTTTTGAACGATGAAAAGCGGGCTGGAAAACATTCGAGAGGGAAACAAAGGAAGAGGGAACATCTCTTCGCTGTTTGACGCGAATATTCAATTGTAAAAGTGAATATTTTCCGAACCAGAACATCTGGACGCATTTATAAGGTAATTATTAATCTTTCGTTGATTATGACACATATTATCAAACTGTGTTTTTAAGTTAAAACAGACAACGAAACCACTTAGCTAACTAGCCAGGCTTGCTAAAACTTCCGGCTATTGCCTCATTTGTCTCGCTTCACATTATGAACTTTAACTAACAGTTGAAACTTCTTTGTCAGGTTTCCGTCATGTCTCACAAACAGATCTACTACTCTGATAAATATGACGATGAAAAATACGAGTACAGGTGGGTAAATATATGGACATATAATAATTTGATGTTAGCTTCCGCCGGTGCCTCTAACGCGGTGCTGTAAACATAAATGACAACCTAGAAACACAATGTCAATGAGTTGTGTATTATTTCTTTTTTTATTTTTAAACATAATTCTCATGTGCAGACATGTAATGCTACCTAAAGACATTGCTAAGCGTGTACCGAAGACCCATTTGATGTCAGAAACTGAGTGGAGGAACCTCGGAGTACAGCAAAGTCAAGGATGGGTACACTACATGATCCATCAACCAGGTATAATTATAATAATGGTCCTAATTTAATGTCGTCTACTACATGTCCGAAAGAGCCGGGGGGAGAAACAATACTGAACAGATGTACTTGTGTTTTTGTTTGTTTGTTTGTTTGTTTGTTTGTTTGTTTATTTATTTATTTATTTATTTATTTATTTATTTATTTATTTATTGTCTGGATCCACATTTCATTTTTAAATTCATTTAGCTGAGTTTAAAAATACATTACAGTAATCGTGACTTATTATTTACCTTATTGCTTGAACAAAGTAATTTAATTGATTCCAAATCAAGTATAAGAAACTACAAATTGGCTTCTGATACTTGATTTTGTTTAAGGGATAAGAACATTTATTTCCACGCTGAAATATTTCTTAACACATCTAAAACTGTATTAATAAATTAACTATACCCCATTAAACAAAAATAAAATAAAAGTGCCAAGATGGGTACAAAATGAGCCAATAAAAACATAGACACGTGGTCATAAACACTTAAAATTCGGTGAAACTGCAGTGGAAAAATTAGCATATTTTCTATTTTGAGTTCCCAGCTTGTATTCAACATTTGCAGCTCAGTGAGCTGTCACTTTGAATGTTAGCTCCAGTTTTCCTGAAACTGGTGTTGCCTATTCAAAGAATGGTAAACGAGAAGCATTTTCTAGTCTGACCGCTCCTGAGCTACAGCTGCCCCATAACAAATGAGAGAAAATCCTAAACCAAGAGGTTCAATATTTACCCTGAAAGCGAAGCCGTTAACGTTCGCCTAATGTGTAATTATAGTTTCAGCTAAAGAAAAAAGTCATTTACAGCTATGTTCAAATGTGTTTCGTGTTTTCCTGAGGAATTCTTGTCCTGCCAAGAATGTCTCAAAATGGTGCAAGAATGTTTTCAGACATTCTTGCTAGTTGGTGCACTTAAATGACCTCTGTATTAAATTGAGAAAATTCGTAACATAAACTGGAAAATAAGCTTTTTAGAATTAAAAAAAAAAATCCTGGTATGTTTTTAAAATCTTGTCTTAATGTCTGCCTTTTTTTCCCCCTTTCTCCTTCAGAGCCACACATCTTGCTGTTCCGACGTCCTCTGCCCAACCCTAAATCATAAAAGATGTTCTCTGGATCCTGCAAAGATCAGTCCTCTTGCGCCACACATCTGATCAGATTGTGTGGTGGAACCATCGGGCTGATCACGATGGACCTGGAGACAGAACTGTAACATTTATGAACAATAGTTGTGGAATTGTTGCAAGAAGGGGGTGGGGTGGGGGGGAAATATTACCCTTCTCTTGACAAAAGGACTTTTGATCATTTTCACACACCACCTGCCAGAAACATTCAAGCCTTTTGATGAGACTCACCCGTCCGACTAGCTGCTTGGATTTTCCATCTTTATCTAAGCAGCACGGAGCATACGTTCCACATTCGATCTGTTAGTGCATCAAGCCAAACAAAAGTCCAATTAAAGATTGTAAATGCAGTTTGTATTGGAAAAGCTGTGGTTTTAAGTGACATGTTGCTGCTTGGTTTAAATGACACTGTAAAATAGGCATTTAACAATATTGTCATGTTAATAAAAACCTGCATACCTGTTAAGTCTGACCTAAGATGAGATCCTGTTTTCTAGAACCAGTTTAACCTGCGTTAAAAAAATAAATAAATAAATAAAAAATAAATCTCCACTGGTCTGAACATGTGAGCTGCTGAATAAAATGCTGCCCTTAAATAAATATAAATTTTTGAAACTTAAGTGTGATTTATTTTTTCTAACTTCATTTTCTTCAATAACGGAAAATATAGTGATGGATGCAAGTACTGTATGCAATATGACTACGTTTTTTGTTTTTCTTTACTAAATTTGGATGAAAATGGCTGTTTTTCCCATTTTAAGTGTTTAATATGAAGGTTAAATTTGCAATGACTAAACTTAAAACACTTATTTTGTGCATCAAAATGAGTTAATTTCACTGTAGTCTTTATTTGTATAAATTGTTCCTGTTTGATTTCAGAAAGCAATGTAATACCAAACACCTTTTCTTTGTCCTATAATATTTTTCTTGCATGCCTGAAAGTTAGTACTTTATGTCCAGGTGGCAGCTGCCATTTAATGTTGCAACTTGAGTAATAAAATATGTCTTTTTTTTAATGTTTTTGTGCATTTTTCAGAAATTTTAAGTGGTTCAGCTCAGTCAGCAGAACCATGTTTTGTGTCTCTGAATTATAGAATGAATTCAAACACATTTGTCCTGATTTTATTTAAAGAGCAACATTTAGAAAAATCTGCACTCAACTATTTTCAGAAATAAATGTCCTAAAATATTGCTACAAAGCCTGTAAGTTCAGTTTYCCAGTCTGACCTGTAGAGGGCAGTGCAACACAAAAAATAATTTGCATCAACGAGTTTTTTTTCCACAAATACTGCAATGGGCTAAAATTRTAAACAAATGTTCACCTCAGAGCTAAGATTAGACTTAAATCTGCATCATCAGTTTGTCTGAATCTTGTTAGCTCCATCTGATATGTTGTACAACATTTTTTTTCCTTTTAAAGAGCAAAATATGCTCCAGAAAGGAGGCCTGTAGCGACAGCCTGACACCGTGGGTAGAAACCACACAACTTTGTAAATCACAGGTAATGGAAGAAAAATAATGTTTTGTGAATCACAGGAAGATTTCGGACAATTTTTTTTACAAAATTGGTCCCTGAGGTAATCAGCAGGCTGTGATGGGCGGCAATCTGAGCCTCCTTCCTCGGTTTACAGATGTATCGGTGGSCAGGRAAAGAAAARAAAAAATAAAAGATGTTTGACATCTTAAGGTTTGGGGAGAAAAAAAACCTGCAGCCTGCAGAGATATCAGCTGAAAAATGTTTCCCATCAGAGCCCTAGAGGTGAAAAATAACCTGAAAAGTGTTTACAGTTGATCTGACTGATGACCTTTCAGGTTTTCCACCGTGCTACTATTAATGAAACYACCGATTTCTGAAGAGTTTTAAAGGTGATTAGAGATTATTTCACCATGACATGAAGTCATTAACCTCTGAAATGATAAGCAAATGGATATTAAAGGTAACTGGAAATTATTTTCCAATATCAGTAAAGCATCACTGATGATTAAATGTCAAACTAGATGCGTTCTTCTAGGACCAAATCCCCAATATATCCTTTCAGCTGTAAAATAAGACCAAAGAAATTATGTTTTCTAGTTGCATATTTAAAAAAGAACCTAGTGGTTGTATTTTACACAAAATAATYAATATATTACATCTAAATGTTGCAGAGTAACACTTTTTTATCAGGAAATGACAAAAAATGAACTTGTGAAGCATCTTCATCAGTTGCATCAGACACTAAATGAATCACAAATATGGTTAATAGACTTATTTCTGGGTGAAGTTTACTGACAGTTTTGACTAAAACCTCTTGCTCTGCTTTTTTTTTTTCTGAATAATGATTTGCAAACACCCCCCCCCCCCACCAAAAAAATCTTTGACGCTTCACCTCTTTTATTAGACGAATTTGCCCAAAGCTTCACATGAAGCCCATGATTTAATTAGCATATTAATGAACACGAACATTAGCTGTTATTTTCCTTTCCTCTGTCATGGTTTTTGTCTTTGTTTCAGAAGCTTTTGTGTTGCAGTTTCTGGTTTTAAAGTGGCTCCATCCTCGCTGCTGGAAATGGTCGAGGAGAAAGATTTTCAAATCCACCCCACAGACTCATATGTTGGCTTTTTGTGTGCAATAAAACCACAGACACTTATAAATATTTGATCAGATACTTGCTGGGTGCTTTTTAGGGCAAACCACAACCTGACTTTAATCTGCGCTTTTTAGTTTTAGCTTCTGAACCTAATTAACCATTTAATGAGAATAATAACAATAACAATAATAAAARTCTCATGGCTGACTCCAACTATAGAATAAATTCTCTTCAGCAGATCTTCTGTTTGTGCATTTAGCTATTTTCTGGTTCCTCTTGCATCTTCAGTTTTGGTTTTATTGAAGAAGGAAGAATAAATGCAGGATGATTTTAGGATGATAAATGACGGTTCTCTTGCTAAAAGCTAAATCTTTTTTGTTAGTGCTCGTAATAAAAATCAGATGTTCAGGATGCACTCATAAACCAACAAAATATAGAAAGAGAAATCCACGTCAAAGCAGTTTTTATTAATCTGAATGTAAAAATGTCTTGTGGGATTTCGATGCACCAGGTTGGATATTTTTTTAAACCCGTGKAGTTTTTGTGTGACAAAAATGTTTTTCTTTGGCTCCTTGTTTTGTTCCCTTGCGTTTCTCTGTGCCCCACCCAGTTATACCTGTTCCCAGTTTCATTGTCACAGCTGCAGCCACTCTTCCCATCAGCCCATTTATTCCACCAGTTTCACCTCACCTTGCATGCCCAATCCAGTTCTTCCTGTGTTCTCCTCCCGATCCCTCTGTGCTTCTAGCGATTGCTCCTGAGTTTCTGTCAATACGTTTTGTTGCCACATCAGGATTTTGTTAGAGTTTAAAATAAATCGGAGTAATTTCTAGTGTCAGTCTGGATTCTCGGGTCCAGCCTTCTGAAAATAACAGAAAACTATCCACATCTGCCCTGCGTAGTGCCTAAATAAATTTCCGGATGAGCTGCCATCTTGGAGTTCTTCCTTTGTTAATTATAAGTCAAAACCAGCCACAACACTGTTAAAAGTCTTGCTGACTCCCTAAACACTGCCTGCATTTTCTTCCTCGACTCACTGAATGTGACAGATTTTCAGTCTAATTTAAAAAAATAGCTGTGGCTGGAGCATAAAAGAACAAAAGAAACTGGAGGAGGCTGAAGATCTATTTATCTACTCAACTATCCATCTCCTATACTCCCTCTGTCATTTTTATAATTTTTTTGTGTTTTCCCACAGTTTTATGTAACAAACCATTTGCTGCTTCCTGTCAGATTTCTGTGAACATATTGGAGATCGTTCTGACTTCTCTAGCAATAAAACCCACTGCGTTCTGACTCACACATATGTATACAGACAGAGACAGAACTATGTTGAAAGCAGGTTTTACAAGATAAAATTTGAAGCACACAACCTGACATGAAATTACAGCTTGGCTCTGCGACACTCTTGAGGGCCTGTAATAAGAACTGACGTTGTACCTTCGTTCAATAGCGCAAACTTCCGAAAGAACTTCAGAATGTTATTAGATTTAGCCAGGTATGTGAATAATTTAAAGTGAAATGGAAAGCAGCGAGAGAACAGCGTGATGGAGGACAACGAGGTGTGAAGATGAGAACGGAGAGGACGGAAGAGGAGAGAATTTAGGATGAGCAAAAAAAGTWWAAAAAAAATGGAGGTGAGGCACAAAGAGACAAAGCTGAGCCGGACACAGAGGTACATCTTTAAAGGAGATGATATGGGCGAGATGTGAATGTGAAAATATAGAAACACAGGAGGAGGGAGAAAAAAAGGTCAGATGAGGAAATGAAAAGTGCTGTGCCGGATACGGATGACATATTTGTGTCTTCGTCGGCACAGCGGGAATCCTCCTAAGACAGAAGTGTGATGCAAAGTGAGAGCGACGAGGAGATTTAAAAAGAAAAAGCAGCTGATAGAACTCGTATCTCRACAAGGTTCCATTAAAGGATCTAAAAATGAATTTTAGAACAACCTGAAACAATTCACAACATCAATATTTCAAAGAGCACAAAAAGCAATCAGTTACAAGTTATGCTGAAGTTAATATTCTGTCAAATAATCAGTTTGATAATCTAACACAATGTTTAATTTAGTTAACACGGTGAGCAATTTGTTCCAGACTGTGAAGGAAAATGAAATAATGAAATCCAAAACGTGTGTTGAATGTTTAAACRAAACATTCTGGTGGGATTTTTTTTCAGATCCAAATGCAAACAA